TAGTGCTTCTTTGAAAAGTCCTTTGAGGTCACAAAATTTAAAAGTTGTATTGTGCTTAGCTATATAATTTTTAACCTCTGCCCATATGAGCTCAATGGGATTGAGCTCGCAATGGTATGGAGGTAAACGGAGCACAGTTTTATTTTGACTTGCTGCCATTTCGTCAATGGCGTATTTTTGATATTCCGCCTTGTGATCCTTGACAATTCTTAATAATTGTACTTTCAGCATTGCTTCTTCAAAGTTGATATTTTTCGAGCGGAGCCAATTTTGAACATCAACTTTACTTGAAGCCGTTGTTGGGACCTTCTCCATTCTTCGAGAATGATAAGGCGCATTATCCAACACAATTACTGCGTTTTCCTCTAACTTCGGTAAAATTTTTGAAAACCACTGTTCAAACGATTCGCCATTCATTTCCTCGTGGTAATCTCCAGTTTTCTTAGACTCTAAGCACCACAGACCGTCAACAACAAATCCATCCTCACTGCCAATATGGCAGAGAATGAGCCTTTTCCCTTTACCTGGAAATCGAAGTACTAACTGGTGTAGATTTATTTCAATAAGCGAACCTTTTTCAAATGTTTTCATCACATTCAGCGAAAAAACATTGAGACATGAGTATCAGATTGCTATAATTGGGATTATTTAGTCATATTGAAAGAAAGAATATTGAACGTCGTATGATTACTCAGCGCTTCACAATTTAATTTAACGTTATAGACCTTTAAAAAATGAATGATCAGGAACCTGAAATACGCGCAAATATTAATATTAACAAATTATAACTTTATAAAGCTTAAAATATGAATTAAAATGATTAGAAATATTAGGAACGGTACACAATATAAAACTTAGTAACTTTTTTTAAGTTTATAATATTCGACATATTTTAAGATTATATTAAAAAATTATTGAAATATCGAAAACACATAAAAACATGGCTTAAAAAAGTTCTAACAAATGAAAATGACAATAAAACATCCACGCATTTTATCCAAAGTTATAAAAGTTTTGTTACTTGTAATATGTTTTATCTGCCCCCTGGAATTAATGTTTAGAACCTTGTTCCCAAGGTTTGAAAAACATCCGATTGTTGTCTATTACTCGTATTTACCTGCTGGATTTTTTAATCCGGCGGACAGTCCATCTAGAAAGGCCCTCCTGGATGAAGTTACAGAATCATCAACCCATACTTTACTTGTAGTGTGTCCTGCGTTTACCCACGTTTCATCAAGGTAATAAATCTTCCTGTTTTGATTTCTATATTTCCCAATTTTTGTTAAATAATCCCTCCTCCATAGCACAATTTCTTCTCTATGCAGTAGTAAACTATTACGATCCCGTTTTTTCCATTTGAAATTTAAATGCTTCAGTAACGCATGGAAAGTTGATCGTTTGAAATTTGGCAACGTTGTATCTCCATTTACCTCCTGCAGTACTTTATCTATAGTAGGTATTTCATTCCTAAAGAAGAATTCATGCACTTTCCTCCTAATCGCATGCTTATCAGCTTCATCCAATGATTTAACAATGCTTTTGGGATGTTTGCTGGTCATTGGCTCAGAAAAGGTGTGATTTTTTTTGTATTGTCTTAACACATTAAACACTGATGCGCGACACACCCCAACTTTGTGAGAAACCTTCACAACAATTTCTTTGATGGTTGATGCCTCGTTCTCCTCGCGCTCGATCTTATATATATTCAAAATGACCTCTTTCATTTCTGCACTCAGGTGTCTTTTTTTAGAGCGTTTCCTAGGTGGACTACAGGAGTTTACAACTTCATCGGCAGTATCTGTACTACTGGGCATTTTGCGCAAGCAGTTGATAACAATAACAATCAATAACAAGGTATAACAATAACAACGACAAACTCAACAACTTAATAAGATAACAAACGAAAACGTCCAAAGAAATATCAAATTGCAATGATGCACACGACATACGTAACACGTCTGAACCTGAATGTGACTCTGCCTTGATACGACTGCTCTGCCGCTCGGCATAGGCATTTAATTGCGAATTGACCAATGAGGGCTCCTTTTTTACGTCGAGACGGCGGCGTTAGCGTGAAAATCACCCGAACCTTTTGTTTACATCCGGTCTATCTCTTATCTGAATATACTGTATATACACATTCTGAAGCACATCATCCAGTTTTGATCCTATGATTAGCATTGCACTGATACGCGATCCCTAGTATCTGAAACGTTATCCTTGTGATGCAGGACGTATTCTGCAGTTTCCTTAAAGCCCCTCCAGATCTGCACGTTGCCCGATCTGCTTGTATCAAAAGCTTTATGTCGGCTTAGGTAATCATTATGTCAGAAGATGCACCATGACCAGCTTAAGAAGATCGTATATAAATGTGGGTTTTCTTTCTTTTATGATTCCCTTCACTTTATCTGTCATAACTGTTTGTTTTACCAATCTAGAGGCTTTAATTGATTACGTCTTTAATGGATTGTTTGATGCGTGTTATAGCCACAGCACTGAAAAGCTCTTGATAATACTGCTGAACAAAATTAAAATATTTTTTTGTGACATGGACAAACCAAGGTGGTTATTATGTAAAACGTACCCGAAAAGCCGGAAATAACATTCGATTTTTTTTCATTCCATTACAATCTCGGAATTCAGTGTCATTTAGAGCACTGTCAAATACATCATCCTTCATGATTTTGAATATTTGTGGACCCACAAATATGACCTATTTAATTGTTGCATCATTAAGCCTCGGGAGGGTTTGTTTTAAATGCAGAAACCCTCTTCCTTCTCGATCCACAGCTTTCACAAAGTAGTCCCAACTTAATATGCAAAGGTGGAAACAACACGTTTTTGAGATCAACTAGTGGTTCATGAGCAATGTTTTTGAGGCCTGGAGTGAATACCTGACGTAGTGGCCACTCCTTCTGTTCATAATGACGATCTCGCACACGACTGTCCCATTCACAAAGAAAACAACAATATTTGGTATATCCCAGTTGCATTCCAAGAAGAAGGGCTATTTCCTTTAAATCTGCACATATGGCCCATCCATATTCATTACGACGAATATGCTCCAACAGAACTGGCATATTTTCATATGATTCCTTTATATGAACTGCGTGCGCTATAGGTACAGATGGATATTTATTACCTTTGTGTACCAATACCGCTATTAAACTAAGCTTAGAGGAATCAATGATCAGGCGCCAATCATTTGGATCATGTTTCTGTCCTAACGCGTCAAACAAATTGTTGACATCTGAGCAATGACTTTGAAGTTGAGTCATTAATTTTCAGATAATGATTGTAGAAGGAAGATAAACCAAAATATGTGTGTAAAAATAAAAAAAAAAATAAAAAAAAAAATTTTACCTTGTTTTATAAATTATCCTCCCGAAAAGTATTTCAGTGCGGACCTGTATTTGATCGTGAGGTCTTGGAGCACCCGCATGCCGTCCTCTGTGAGGTCTTAAGTCACCTGACTCACGAGCCCGTTGTACTACATTCACAAAGGCACGAGGGGTTGGTTGCACTCGATTGGGAAACCGATCCGCATAAACATGTGCCATTTTTTATTCCGTTTGAGCCACGCAACAGACACCACTATTCACTCACGCGTTACCGACTGACACTGACTGTATACAACTGAATAAAATAATTGTAAAAACATCGTTCCAAATTCATTCGCTTTTTTGTTTCCGATGCGATGAACCGATAAGGCGGATTATATCCGTTGTTGCCAAACACGAGCACCTAATATTATTATTGAGACAGGGCGGTACTCAAACTTCCAAAGGGCTATAACTTTGCTACTTTAATTTTACCAGAAAAATGGTGGAGGAAAAAAACATTTCTTTTGATCAGATCTACTCACTGTTAAAATAAATGACTCAACTTCGAAGTCACCCTGTATATCAACTCTCTTTCTTGACGGAAACAGTGTGTGAGGTCTTGTGGCCGTTTTTGGTAAAAAGTAATGTTAACATCACCGTGGAGAAGATTACATCCTTTTAATCTTGACGCTAAAAGTTCTGACTGGGATTTTGACAGATTTCGAACTAAGTCATTAAGTTCGCCCTGTGTGATCAAATGCGGCGCTGTTGAACATCCTGGCAGGTCAAACGAAGGATCGGAAATGTTTACGCTTTCTGTACCATCACTTTCAGAATCGGTGGATTCGACTTTTTCATCCAAAGACCAACACTCTGGTGGAACTGGGACAGAAAGTTCATCACTATGCTTAACGGGCCGCAAAGCTGATGGTAAATTAAAATACTTAACAGTATGTTTCGATTTTGGTCCAATACCTTTAATATTTGTGAGGCAAAGATAGCAATCAGTAGTATGGTCTCTCGGTTCTCTCCAAACCATTGATACCACAAAGGCCGTTTTACGATTGTCGCCTCTTAATCAACCTGTTAACAACGTTACACAAATCTTACAACATATATGAGGAGCCATAGCTTATCTTGATCGCCAACTTTAGTTCCAAAATAAAGTTTTTGTGATTTAAAAGTTAGCTCTCCGCACACATAACAAAAACTGTTCGCACTATTTACACATTTTCTAGGCATTGTCCATAAAGCTAGTCTCAATCACAATAAACTAAAAACAACACACCGTTTTAACAAAAATTAACAGTACTCAAAACATCTCAGTACTCAACACAGAAGACGTAACTGACTCTGCTGCTATTAATCTACTAATAAATGCAATATGCTCTCTAAACATAGAGCTCGCATATAATAAACAGAAATAGACAGGTCTCAACATTATATATGTGCGTCATCCCATAAACGCCGAGAAATGCAGCAATATGAGATGTTATGTATTGTAATTCATAAAAGTAGATGTTACCGAATATCTGTGGGTGATAGAAAAATTCTGTTTTAGGTTTGATTTAAGGGTCTCAAAATACATAAGATACACCCAAAAATTGTCATGTCATAAATCCTGTGTTTATCAGTGTAATTAATCGAGCCAGTAAGCTTTGATCCACATCGACGTACATGTATGCTTGGTCGTTAAACATGTTATAGGCCTCTTGCTGCTGGAACAATTTAAGGACATCCCAGGCTATCGAAGGAGATTCTTTCATAGTGGAAGGAGATTCATCGGCGATCCAAGTAGTTCTGGTTCTCCATATATGCGCAGATTCGCAGACCTTCCAAGAACCTACAAGATCATTAAAAAAAGTATGTTCCTTTCAACCAATAGAGTGTTACTGGTCATCTCCTCGCATAATATTGATTTTCGATGATCTCTACTCGTATAAAATTAATTCTCATTTCTCTTAGGTACATACTTCGAGTGAAATGGCATTACATGTGCAGAGGTGCTATAACAGGTACCAATTTAAACGTGCCACCATTCTTGAACACCAAGAGCCAGTGCCTTGTTTACATGCACACACCTACCTGACCGTCGCCACCGATTTCACTATCGTTTGTTTATAGCATGGTCATCAACATACCAATCCAGTTCGAAAATCAATTACTCTGATGATAAAGTGTCAAAATGGAATAGTATTACAAATAAAATTTTACTTTAGCCACTCATCCACACAATATGCAAATCTACCTCTATTTCGACTCGCCTATTATTGCGTCACCTCATCTGCATCATCCTGTTTCTAAACTTTCGCTCGACCTCGCTAAATTTCGAAAAAAATGTTATCTGTATTGTAGGTGGACTTGATGCCGAGCGTAGAAGTCCCTGGTATGTTTGCGGAAATATCAATGGTTTCATTCAAAGTTCGAAATACTCTTGTGTGTATTGGACTAACGTATGTTCTAAAAGTTTTGGCACAAAATATTTATCGATTTTTTTTTAGCTAACTAATTATCATAAATTACAACTCAATACTTGACTCGAATTATGTGGAGTGGCCCATTCTGCTCTACCAGATGCAACTTCTTTCGAATGTCCCTCATGAGGTCCTGGACGGAATTCACATCAATTTCTCTCAGTTTTTCGTAAATTCGCCCTTCTAATTGTTGTTCATCTTGGGTTTCCCAGCCTCCATGATAAGCCTTCCTAGACAGTAAAGGCCAAAAATCCTCTTTTGGGTGAGCCCGCGGCAAGTTTGGAACATGATCGATTTTTGGAACAAAAGGTGAGTTGTGTTGAGGAAGCCAGTTTTGGGTATCTCTTGAGTGATGGCATAATGCTAGGTCTGACCAAAACATGATATGGTCATTGGCATTATGTTCGTGGACAAACTGAAGCAATTTTGAAAGGCAGTTATCAATATAGCTCTGACTATTCAATGCTTCACCCCTAACTCTTCCCATAAAAGGTTCGGATACACCCCTGTCAGAAATTTCGCACCATTGTCACGGCATTCCTCTACGTTGTCCGTATAAAATCCGGCATTTCCCTTCATTTCAGAATTACTCAAAGTGAAAGAGTTTTCGTCATTTAAAATAATGATTTTTCCATTGGCAAAATATACCCAGCCTCAGTTGACGACAGCATCTTGGTATACGAAGGAGTTGAGTTTCTCTCGGACACTCAAGTCTCTCTCATGGTTCCAATTTTTTTTAAAAAACAAATTTACATCTATGATAGGTGCCATCCATCATTACCGAAATCATAACATCGAATAACTATTATACGTTACCTGTGTTAGGTGTCAGATTATAGTGTCTAAAAGCTTCCACATACTTTTAAAGTCATCGGTAACATGAGTCCAATTTTAAAATAATAGCAGAATTTTCTTATGACAAATGCCAGTTTACGGGTAACATAATTGTCAAATCTGACACGTCGCCTCATAGCACAATGTTTTAAAACGTCATTTCCTACTTCGTCATTAGAATATTTTTCCAGGATTCGCGTAATAAATCGCTGGATGAAATAGTCCGAGCCGAAGCGTCAATTCCTTTTGTAATTCTACCGGAAGGCATGGAGTTGGTTTTTTAACCTGAGCGCAGTTCATCGCCTGATATCTATCACACCTGACTTATTGACCACAATCTCAAATATGTTCTGATAAGCACATACTCGTAGTACTACTAGAGACGAAATCCTGTCACACTCTGAAATTGCAACTTTGTTAGACTTACCGCGGTACAGTGTGAGAAATATTGTTAGAAGATATAACGTAACTGGTTCAGTTAATATTAAACCACGATATGTGAAAAAAAGTAATATCACAAATGCCGACCGAAGAGCATTAAGAAGAATAAATCGTGAAAAACAGGCGTGCCAATTATTTACAGTTAAGTGCTCTGTAGAGTGACGCTGTTGGAAGGAGAATTTCGAGGTCCACAACTCATAGAGAGGCCCACAAACTGGGATTTAGCACTTGCAAGGTATGTTTTCTTATAAAAAAAACCTAAAGTTGCACAACTTGTTTATAGGACAAAGAAAAGCCACTATTAACTCCACTGCAAAAGAAAAATCGGCTTAGATGGGCTAAAGAACATAGACAATGGACACCTCAACAATGGTGTGCAATACAATGGAGTGATGAGGCCCGATTCGAAGTTTGTGTTGGTGACAGTCGCAGTAGGGTTATTCCCAACAAAAATGAAGCATTCCATCTTGACTGTCTGAAGAGAAAAGTGAAACTTCCAGCATCCATTATGGTCTGGGGCAGTATGTCATCAAAAGGAGTAGGAAAACTTCATTTTATTGATGGAAGTGTGGATACAAACAAATATTTGGCAATTTTAGAAGAATCGCTTTTACCAGTGATGGAAGAATGTTTGACATCCGGCCAAGATTTTGTGTTTCAGCAAGATGGTGCAGCGTGTCATACCTGAAAAAAGGCTATAAAATGGATGGAAGAAAATAATCTACCACTTTTGAATTGGGTTTCTAGCAGTCCAGATCTGTCACCTATTGAAGCTTTGTGGCACGAGGTGAAAAAGGTTCTACGACAACATCCTGCTCGTACAATCACCGAACTGAGACAAAAGCTTCAAGAAATATGGGATTGTTTTACACCAAATTTTTCCCAAAACATGGTTAACACTATGCCCCAAAGAATTTCAGCCGTAATAAAAAATAAAGGTGATGTTACCCAATGGTAATCTTGCAATTGTTGCTTTGTTAACTTCGCGCATTTATTCGCACATTGTTTATTTGTTCAGATGTTCTATTAGTTATAGGTCTAAGTGATTTCAAATACGTATTTTTTTTCGACTAGAGTGAATTTAAAATGTTTTTGAGAAAATAAATTGTTTTAGAAGTAAGTAAATAGTTTAGTCATGTTTAGTTTATACAGGCATATTTTGGTACAAATCTTGAAGTGGGCCAACTGAAGTGGGAAGGGGCTCGTATATCGACCTATAAAACATGTGTGTTATCTCTTTTAGAACCTGCCTCCTCGCTCTCCAAAAGGTTTTGGAGCTCATACTTCTCACGATATTTTCTGTCGGAGCTATTTCTCTGACTTCCAAAGAATTTCGAGCACACATTCGTTTGCTTGTATTGGCCCTCCTGTAAAAAATTTTTGCGGGCGTCAATGGTGATTGGTAGGATACTATTGTCAAATAGTTGGTGACACCAAGATTAAAGAGACTACCAGTATCTGTCGTATCTGTATTTTTGACATCTGTGTCATAAGAAGTAGTGACGTCAATGATGCTGATTGGTGTTTTAAAGTACAATCCGTTTTGAGAAAATTTTATTTTCTATTTATTGATTAAAATCTTTGTCAGGTAATATAAATACATTGCCGTAACGCTTTTTACTTCCCACGCCTACCGGCGGGAAAATATTGTATTGCCCACTTTTCATGTCAAAATAAAAAGTGAATCTATATCTTGTTCTGCCACTGTGAGAAATTTGGGAGTAGAATTTGACTCATATCTAAGATTTAAGCCTCATTAAAATCTTATGCTTCTCTTATCCTCATCGATATGTCCTCCCTGTTAAACTTAAAATATTGCTTTGTGAAGTACTAGTACTCAGCCATTTTAATTTTTGTAACAGCGTTTATGGGTTTTATCTAGACAGGATGACATGAATAGAATTGAACGTGCCTACGATTTATTTATGGTATCCGTAAGTCTGAAAGAGTTTCACATAAGTTGCTTGATGCAAACTGGTTGAATATGCGATGTCGATGTGAGTTGCATGCATGTAATCTTTTTCACAAAATTATGTTTTTTAAGCAACCACCATATTTATTCGATTGAATAACTTTTTGTACCGATGTTCATAACTTAAATTTGCGGTTTCGGGGCTACATATCACCTCCTCCTCATCAAACGTCTCCTTTTTGTATATCTTTCTCATACAACATTTACCGGCTTTACAATCAAATTCCTAATGACTTTAAAATTCTGCATCCAAACCAGTTTAAAATTAAATATAGATAATTTATTTTTGAAAAGCGCTTCAGCGCACATTAATGTAAATGAGGAACAAGCGACCAAACTAATGAAATAGAAAATATATTTTTTTTGTACTATAATTCTATTATTCTAAATCTATTATTCGAGTCTTTCTAAAGTAGATCTGTCTTTTTATATATATATACATATATATATATATGTATATATGTGTATATATTGTATATATATATATATATACAGGGTGACTTCGAAGTTGAGTCATTTATTTTAACAGTGAGTAGATCTGATCAAAAGAAATGTTTTTTTCCTTTACCATTTTTCTGGTAAAATTAAAGTAACAAAGTTATAGCCCTTTGGAAGTTTGAGTACCGCCCTGCCTATTATATGCTCGTGTTTGGCGACAACGGATATAATCCGCCTGACCGGTTCATCGCATCGGAAACAAAAAAGCGAAAGAATTTGAAACGTTTATCACGATGTTTTTCGTCAGTCGATAAATCCTGAGTGAATAGTAGTGTGTTGCGTGGCTCAAACGAAATCAAAAATGGCACATGTTTACGAAAATGCTGAACTTGTGGACATGATTCTTATTTACGGGGGGGCAGTCTTTACAAAATGCTCCCGGATGCATCACGGATTTATGCGAATCGGTTTCCCAATCGAGTGCAACCAACCCCTCGTGCCTTTGTTAATGTAGTGCAAAGGGCTCGTGAATCAGGTGACTTAAGACCTCACAGGTGAGGGCATGCTGCTCCAAGACCGCACGATCAAATACAGGTCCGCACTGAAATACTTGTCGGGAGGATACTTTATTAAACAAGGTAACATTTTTTTTGTATATATACAGGGTGACTTTGAAGTTGAGTCATTAATTTTCAGATAATGATTGTAGAAGGAAGATAAACCAAAATATGTGTGTAAAAATAAAAAAAAAATAAAAAAAAAATGTTACCTTGTTTAATAAAGTATCCTCCCGACAAGTATTTCAGTGCGGACCTGTATTTGATCGTGCGGTCTTGGAGCAGCATGCCCTCACCTGTGAGGTCTTAAGTCACCTGATTCACGAGCCCTTTGCACTACATTAACAAAGGCACGAGGGGTTGGTTGCACTCGATTGGGAAACCGATTCGCATAAATCCGTGATGCATCCGGAAGCATTTTGTAAAGACTGCACCCCGTAAATAAGAATCATGTCCACAAGTTCAGCATTTTCGTAAACATGTGCCATTTTTTATTTCGTTTGAGCCACGCAACACACTACTATTCACTCAGGATTTATCGACTGACGAAAAACATCGTGATAAACGTTTCAAATTCTTTCACTTTTTTGTTTCCGATGCGATGAACCGGTCAGGCGGATTATATCCGTTGTCGCCAAACACGAGCATATAATAGGCAGGGCGGTACTCAAACTTCCAAAGGGCTATAACTTTGTTACTTTAATTTTACCAGAAAAATGGTAAAGGAAAAAAACATTTCTTTTGATCAGATCTACTCACTGTTAAAATAAATGACTCAACTTCGAAGTCACCCTGTATATGAAGGAGTCATAGGTAAATGGCTGAACTTGTATCATTTTTAAATGCCTTCAGCCCTTTTTTGTAATATATCTCATTTAAATGTATTTTGCTACTGTTTTCACCTAACTGTATGTTGCAAATAAACATTATTATTATTATTTAATTTTTGCATTACACGTGTTTGTAGCTAGTTCAGAGGGACTAACTTGTGGGAAGTGCAGAGTCAACCTACTTGATGCTATTTTTTCCATGTTCTATTTTTCGCCTTATTCACATATTTTGCATGAACTTTCGATCTGACCGCACTATATTCGCGTTTTGGTCCTTCTCGCCGATAAGCGGGTATACTCGACACTCGGTTTCTCCGGCACCGAATTAGTATTGGCCTGCTGTGCTGTTACGTATGTTACATCGCCGATCGTGTGGTTACGTCTTCTGATTGGCGAACGTCGGCCGGCAGATCGTAACAGTTGAAACGCGTCCAAAGACGACGCAACATGGTACACAGCAAGGTGGTTTGATCATGATGGGTTGTGCGCGCGTTTTGATCCTTTTGGCGGTAATCGCACCGGTTACGGTGGTGCTAGTTCAAGGACAGCTAGAGGTGGCTATCGAGGAACCCAGGTTCAGCACTTTTTTGAATAGGATTACTAATACTACCTTTGGTAGGTATATTTATTTAAATTTTTCAATGACTGACTGACGCTGATCAAATCTGAGTTCTAATATTAGTGTCTTCAAACGAGAAATTCCACACGATGGTACTCTCGAGATCTGAGAACCTCACGAACCTAAGGAGAAATCTAACAAGGAGACCTTATCCCTTTGAGATTTTGGTGCAGCTCTGTGTGTTGATAGAGACTTGGTAGTGGAGTATATTCCTATAGTCCTAAGTGCATAACTTGAACATAAGGAAGATACGTCTCTTAAAAGGGTCAGTTTCACCATTGGCTCAAGTATTAAACATGCTAGAATGCGACAATTAATAATGTGTACTGTAAACATTTGTCAACTATGTTTTATTTACTTTCCCCAGCAAATCAAACATTTTATTGAAAAGAAAACTAAAACTGCTCATATTTAATTTTACAAAAACGTGAAATCTCATGTTGTGAAGATTTCATTAAATACGCATGGTTATCACCGAAGCTTGTAGTTAAGTTGCAGTTCAGTTTATGATGACAATCATCATCCATTAATAAAAATCACATCTGCATTGGATCCCAACAGCCACTGCATTCTATTATTTAAAAAACAACAGCAACTCCCTAAATTCAATGCTTACAATAAATTATGTTGAAAAATAAATACTTTTGTAAAATCAGCTACCAAAAAACGTTACAAGCTGCCTGTTTTGATATAATAATTTTTCTGAGTTGGCATTTTTGAAACTTTGACAAATGATGAGACACTGCGAGATATTTTTCCCGTATTTTCAAATTGTGCACCCTAAAATTTCGGAAATACGACACTTGCAAGTGTCTTAGAACACATAGAGTTGCGGGCAAATCTGTAACCCGAACGGTGTAAGGTTCCTTGTTAGACACAATTCAGTAAATGGAACTGAGTAATGGATGTTCACAAAACGGATCCTCAGTTCTGACAAGGTCAAGGTTCGAAATAAAGGGGATACTGCGAGGAGCCGACATGGAAACTTTATCAATTAGTAAAGAATTCAATATTTATAGATTGGGTAGTATAGACCACGAGGAGTGAGGTACATTCAGGAGGGAAGGAATCGTTTCGGAGTATGTAAAACTATTACCTCCTTTCTGGCATATGTTTTTTTAGTATTTCTTATGCACGATAGAGTACTTAACGAAAGGTGAAGCTTCCGAAAGTACGACATCTACTCACTAAAAATTCTCAATCAACTGCCACATCACAGTTGGCACTAGCGGCTGACTTGACATAAGGCTCAGTAGGCTAGCACCTATGACGGCCAGATATTAGGGGTGGAAACTGAATTCGTATATTTATGCTACTAACTAATAACCAATTTCCCAATAAAATGGTACATATTGCTATATCTTGATGCGAAAAATATCTTGGTTGACCTGTATCTTGGAAAAGTGCCACACCCCCTAAACGCTCAGGCTCAACAAAATCGGAAGTGGAATTTCCAAATTTCCCCAGCATTCCTACTGTTAATGTTGTAAGTTACTTCTAGACTTATACCTTACTTTGCAATTTGCATCAATTGCCACACTACTAGCTGAATTTCAAGCCATTTAACTTCATCCATGTGCCTGGAAAATTTTTCCGTAATGAGGCATTCGTTTAGCGTCAATTCCAGCCGACCTCGGTAATCAACTCCTCTGCCACAGCTTTCAAAGCATCAATGTTCTCTAATAAACCGTCCGTATAACAGCTGTCAGTATCAGATTTTATAGCTGGAATCACGTTTCTCAGCCAGCAAATAAATTGGTGAGACATAGGCTACCACCAGCAATATCCGATGCAGTGTTAACTAATTTTAGCTATGTTTGATGAAAATCGGTCCAGCTGTTTAAAAGTTATGAAGACGTGAATACGGTGATGAGTAACCCAAAGTAAGCGAATATGCCTGAAGAGGGTATCAGATGAATGGGTTTTATTTGTACATTACTAAATCCGCCATTTAGTGAACATCGATCAAGTCGTTTGGGAATTAGACTCACTTTTAGCCGTAATTGCAAATCAGTCCCAAGTTGATAAACGAGCTTGAGCGGGTTTCTTTTAAACGAAAGTTTAGTCTGTTGAGGGTAGGTATTAAATGCTGCTTTGCTAATAAGAATCCCTCCAGACGAGTTTTTGTTATTATTATGCTTTTTTAATTTGTTGGCGAATAACTTCTTCTCACTGACAGTAGAATATGCTATTGGTCCCTTTATCCTAAAGTTGAAAATATTTAATCTCAATATTCCATAAGACTTTATCTATTCACGTAATTCATTTGTCATTAATAAAATCAATAAATGTACTGATAGTAAATGCAGATAAGAAATATTTCGAAGATGCAAGTGGACTGAATGAATCAGGATATCAACCACTGCCAATAGGCATCCTAGGAAAACTGACAATGAGAATTCTGACGAAACCAGTTGTGTGCCATATACCATTTATGTCTTTCTTGTTTGGTTTCCTGGTTACATTGAAACTGGGATATGTGATAATGAAAGCAACCGATCTTGCAAAAAGAATGTATGTTATAGTATGGGGCTCTTATTATTATACTTCGGCGGAAGGCATGCATAGTTTAAGCCTTCATTTGAAAGGTTTATTTAGCTGGAAAAAGACTGAGAACAATTTTGAAAAAGAGTTGTTTATATTTATGACTACATGGGACATGAAGGATCTTCAGCTGCGAACTTTCATTATCTCCAATTTAAAAAATCCAGTATTACTTCAAAACCAAACTTGCTATTATCGTTTTTCAATTCATTTCACTTCGACTAGTAAAATTAACGACAAACTACAATTTATCCGTATTCTTCCTCGTTTTTAAAGCTTTTCTGATATTCGAAACCCTTGATACAAAAATTGTGTCCATCAAATCCCGTTTTACGAATAAGGGCCATTAAGTGAATGTCTCTAAATTATTTTAGGTTATACTCCAAAAAGACAAATGGCGTCAAGGAGGCTGACTCCTACGCAATGCTGTTATTAGTTCATCTGAGAAAAAAGTTAGCCCGGAACATGTAACAAACAAAAAAAAAATGAATGGAACAACTCTGTCAATGAGGCCTTTACAGTTAGTCTATAATACACACTCCATATGTGGTGTCCTATCGACGATTTTGACCATCTGGCAACGTTGCCTCTGACTAACTCGCCATTCACCACTCCTCAGCCACCCATATCCATCGGTCAAAGCACGACTTAGACATCGATCAGAGCTCGAATTAGATGTATCAACGGTTAGATGCATTGTGTGGCACGCGTGTATTTAAAATATGTCTCCATCACTCCAAGCTGTAGGGGCAAATAATCGAGGACACCTGCAATATACCTGATATGTGTGAATAATTACCGGAGCGATAACGTGTATTTATACTAACGCCAAAAAATTGAGATGGTACTCCACCCCTTGCAACCCCCAATTCTTAACACCTACAATTTGTTTTTCTGTAAATGATCGGGAACCTCTGAAATGTCAAGAAAACGAGGTTTGAGCGATTTCTGTTCTTCTCTTTTTTTTCCACTAGCTCTGCTGCCAATCCAGATTTTCAAAAACTACAAAGCTCTTTCGTCATTCAAAATTTAAGCTGAATTTTCCAAGTTATAGATGGGCCAAATGAGTGACATGCTCTTTGCGATGTCCATGTCGTATAAAAACTAAAGAAATATATTATCTCATTTTCGAAATTTTTCGTGCTTGGAATACAAAATCAAGCAAAATGGCTATTCTAAGAATATATATATATATATATATATATATATATATATATTACTAAGAAATCAATTGCTGTCGTCGAGACAATATAATATTTGAATAAGTATTGATTATATCTATTTTCAAAGAAACATTGTTTACATCATGTAAAACCTTCTGAAAAAAATACATATGTACATGAATATCCACTTAGTATGCAAATAACAGCACTTTTTATGGATATAATCAATGTTCCTCAAAAAATGGATTTTCCCAAATGAAAAGGTGCCTTAGCATTGCGCAAACACATGGTAATTGATTAATTGTATAATTAGCTATACGTCAGAATGTTAAGTTGTGTAATTATCGAAATCCATCATCAAAACGCTATTTCATGCGTACGTACATGACAGAAAAAAGTCAATGATGTTGATACCCTATGGTGTCTCTGGAACATCCAGAACCTCTATTTAGAATAACATCGCATATTACAAAGCAAAAAGAATTTTTGAGGAGATCATTTGTGTGCTATTATATAACGAGCTCTATAATTTGGCCAAAATTTTAAGCAGAAATTGAAATACTGGATTATCGCTGTTGAGCAAACTGTTGTTCGTAATTATATCGAAACATTATAGTATAAGTATAAAGTATTAGTAAATATTTTATCTAGATCATATACTAATGCAGTTCTATACTACTAATATCTTTGTAATATATATAATCATATTCTAATTTTTATTATTAATTTATTTTATACATTTACACTATTTATATTTAGGTTATATGTTATGTGCCATCCACCCATAGACAACGCCTACTGTGGATGTTATGATGTTTACCTACCCCTATTCCATTGTAACTTTGGTAAACAAATGTGATTCTTTGTCCCTTCTCGAATTTTTCGAATCATCAGGTCAGTTTTGAGCAGTCCAACAATTCGGGCTCTCTAAAAGTCACTCTCACATTACGCTTCGAAAAAAATGTTGTCACAAACTTCGTATAGCTGTTACACCTTAAATGTTAAATGTTACCATAGAGTCACAGTCCATCTACTTTTGACAATTTGGCCTTCAGGCACTCTAGCGCTAGCTAAGGGGATCAAATTGGTCATTGCTGTTATTTATGCTAGTGTCAAGATAAGTCAACATGCATAAAAAATATCCATGAACCTACTGCCAGAGTAATTTGGAAACTGGACAATCGGTAATGAGAAGCGCTAAAATGGATTTTATTTTGGGCAACAAGCAAGGGAAAAGTATGGCTGACTATGCACTGAAGAAGTTACTGTATACTACACCTTCTCATATT